GTTGTTAGCGCCATGCGTAAAGAAGTTTGTTGAATCGGTGATCAGGGGTTCGGTCCTGGTCACGGATTAAGTTTTATTTTTTTTTTCTATTTACTTTATTTTACTTTTTAAAATCTATTTTTCGATATATCAACGAGAATAAAGTGTTATATATATATATATATATATAAGTGATTACCGTTTTTTAAATAGGAGGCTGCGCCACACGCAGGTACCTCAAGAAAACGAATTTAGCACTACTCTGAAATGTTTGAGGGTGTGGCCTTAAATGTCAACTTTCTTTGTTATATTTCGAGTGATTAAGGTCATAATTAGAAATAAAATTAGTAACCAATATCACCATTAGAATAATAGAAAATGTTATTGTCAGAATTTCAAGTGTTCAAAGTAGCAAATAACATTGTCTTTCGCATGTGTACATTGTCTTTCGCATGTGTACATACAACATTGTCTTTCGCATAAGTAATACACATTGCATATTTCTTAAAAGAAAGTTGATAACAAATTGTTTGGTTTTCATCTTAAATATTTCTTTAAAAAACTAAAAACATTTAATTAAGAAGAAAAAGTGATTAAATACTTAAAAAGGACTGTAATCAGGACGTTCAACCCTTTTCGGCACAACGAATTTCGGTTGAAATTTTAGTCAGGCAGTATTTTAGCATGTACTTTAGACAGAGAATTAACCTACCTCTATGCAATCAAGAACTGTGCTTGAGCATTAGCCCACTGAAAGGTTTAGTCACATTCATCTGATTGAAAAGATATTAACTCGGAGCGAAGCTCCGAGAGATGTAGGGAAAAAAAAAGAGTTCGATGATCACGGGAGATGTAAATGTAGCTCCGAGAGATGTAGATGGGAAAAAGGGTTCGATGATCACGACTGGGCTGCGATAGTCCTCATAAAAATGTCATGATTGGTGCTTGGATGTTAGAAATAGATGAGATCTCGGGATTTGACGCAAAGTGTCACAAACCGATTCACCTAAACTGGAGTAGTCATGCATTGAAAGTTAAGAATAAGAGAGATAAAATGTAAAATATTACGCCCCACAGGAGAATTATCAGGAACGATGAAGTCATTAGGGTTGTGGGTGGAATTCCACGTCTGGGTCTCAAGAAGGAGAGAACGAAGAATGTCTCGTCCTTTAGAAGTTCTTTCATTTCTTTGAAGAGCTGCAAGAAGCGGCTGACTTTTCTGGGTGTCATGATTGGTGCTGGGATGCTGGGAATGGGTGATATCTCAGCACTAGCCGATTCATCTATACTTATTGGTCATAAACTGGTTAGGCATATAATATGACAATGCAATATATTGAGAAGAAATATAGTGGAGAATATTTCCATTGTCAAGAGTGAACAATTTGCACATAATGATAAGTATTGAGTACAGATAAACAGACATTAAGGGATTTTAAAATCACATCGTTAAGATTAAGAAATAAATATAAGTGATAAAGTAATAATATGAAGTACTAAGTAATAAAAATGAAAACAATAATTGACACGGTGAATAAGAAAATGAATATATTTACAGAAACATAGTATATAGAATAAAAAGTTAAGTTAAAGAAGTTGAAGTGTACCTCGGTTAATATAGAGACCCGGCCGTCCCGGTTGCACTGCTCGTGTCGGGTTGCTCACTATTCTGAGTTTAAACAGACCTGTGGCTCGCCTCGATTGGACCCTGTTGGAGGGTTGCTGCTTCACCAGGTTTGCCACAGTTCTGGTGTTTGTATTGCGAGTCTGTGACTGTGTTGTGATAAAAGAAGTAATTAATATAGATCTCTATTCATAAAACTTTGATATGAGACCGTCTGAAGTAAGAAAGGCAGTTATTGGGCTGTAACTAGCGCTGCCTTTGATAATTTCTACATTAAATAGGTGATTAAAGTTTGAGGCTGTGCAGTCTTTGGCTTCGTTATAAAATTTGGAGTTGAGCTTTGCCATGCAATAATTAATGTCTTCAATATTGAGGTCTCGCTTGAGAGAATTATTATTGATAGCCCGTGGGGCTCCAAGCATCGTGCATTTGTTTATCTTCAAAACTTGATAGTTTTCTCTTTAGGTGATTACTAAGTGCTGTGCGCACGGACAGGCGTATGTTAAGATAGGTCTAATCGCCTGCTGATAGATCAGTCTTACTCAAAGTGGGCGAAGGGGTTTGAAACCTAGAAGGGGGCTTTAAGGGGCCCAGAAAAAAATGGGGGGCGTTGATGTGGGTTAGGGGGGCGATGTATAATTTGTAATTTCATTTACTTTATATAGTATTTTAAATTTCACTAAAATTAAAACCCACCTACTACACAATAACGAATAATTAGTTTATATTTCTACCCTGTATAATGTTATTAAAACTTAAAATACTTAACATAGATTTCGTAGGATAGCCCGCACACCGTACGCAATCAAGTTGAAACAAGTTTCTGCGGATAGATAAAGGAATATGATCGATGATAGTTAAAAAATTAGAGCAATTTTACCTTAATTACATTGCACCAGAACGAAGCGATGAAGCCTTCAAGACTTTAAGATCATTTGAATAAAATGCATCCGGATAAGAAGGACAAAAATGTAGTCTATTTTCAAGATCTGGAAAAGAAGCATAATGCTCAGCCAAGTGTATCGAAATTTTTTTCGATGGCTGCAAAGCAAGACGATGACGGACGCTAAAAACATTAGAAAAGAAACAAGTTCCGGTTGCTCCGGAAGTTCATGTTGATCAATTCGTCTGCAAGCGAAATTAAACTCCGCCTACGGATAAGGTGAATATAAAAGCTCGTAATTTTTCTTATATTTTCATTTGTGGTTTCGCGCGCTATCGTTAAACAAGTATTTAAGTTTAACACTTTATTTTCATATTTTTGAAAACAAAGCCATGTCGGAATCAAAAAAGATGAAACGGTAATACAGTGTAGAATATATTAAATATGGATTCATAGAAAATTCGACAAGCCAATCTTTGCCTTTGTGCCTTCTTTGTTCAAAAACATTTTCAAACGAAGCGATGAAGCCTTTAAGACTTCAAGATCATTTGAATAAAATGCATCCGGATAAGAAGGACAAAAATGTAGCCTATTTTCAAGATCTGGAAAAGAAGCATAATGCTCAGCCAAGTGTATCGAAACTTTTTTCGATGGCTGCTAAGCAACACGATGACAGACTTCGAGCTTCATACAATATCTCTCTGTTAATTGCTCAAACAGGTAAGCCACACACCATCGGAGAAACGTTAATTTTGCCGGAGATAACAGAAGTTATAACTACTGTGTTCCATAAACCGGCGGCAGATATAATTCGAAAAATGCCTTTGAGCCATAGTTCTGTCCAAAGACGAATTGATGAAATAGCTGAAAACATAGAAAAGTCATTGTGCAAACATCTGAAGACTAGTAAATTTTCAATTCAGTTGAATGAGTCCACTTTACCAACAATGAAGCATTGTTGTTGTCTTACGTGAGATTTATTAAAGATGAAAAAATATGTCACGAACTTTTATTTGCTAGAAATTTAGAGACAGACACGGAAGGAGAAACCGTATTTAAAACACTGGAAAAGTTTTGTGATGAAAAAGGAATTCCGTTGAAGAATATTATATCAGCTGCTACAACAGATGGTGCTCCAGCTATGACGGGGTGTCAAAAAGGCTTCATATCGTACTTAAAAAAGAAAATTCTTGATGTGCCTGCTGTACGTTGCGTTATACATCGACAGCATTTAGTTGCTAGAAATTTAAGTGAACGACTATTTCAATCATTGCAACATGTCATCAGAGCAGTCAATAAAATCCGAAACAACTCTTTAAATGACAGATTATTTAATCAGCTTTGTGTTGATAATGATGAAGATTTCTACAGATTTTTCTTTCACACAGAAGTGCGTTGGCTATCAAAATGAAATTGTCTGACTCGTTTTTACAATCTGTTTGAGTCTGTCATAGAGTTCTTGGAAAACAAAGACACAGAATTGCACGAAAACCTCATCACATCAAAGAATGATATCGCATACCTGACAGACCTTTATACATTGCTTAATGATATGAATCTCCAACTTCAAGGCGATGACTTGAACTTAATAAAAACAAAAAATGTCGTCGCTGCTTTCGTAGCCAAGCTGCTCTTACACAAAAAGAATATCGGCAGACGTGAGTTCCATAATTTTCCCAATTTATCAGTATCATGCAACAACGCCGACTTGCTCGTCTACTGCCAACATTTGGAAAATCTTCACAGTGATTTCATTGAAAGATTCCAGGACATTTTGGATTCCAGGAAATATCAGACTGGGTGTTAGATCTTTCTTCAAATTTCAACGTAGTAATATCACCCCAGTTGAAAGAAGAACTTATAGAACTGACAACGAACGAGGAAATAAAAATTAAATACAAAATGGCTACCAACAATTTTGGCTACAAAAGTCAATTCCGCAGTAGTACCTTGGATTGTGGTCTATCGTTGAACGATTTTTGATAGAATTCCCATCGTCATATTTGTGTGAACGTGGATTTTGGGCTGTGGCAAAGCTGCTTCCTAAAAAGAGAAATCTTTTGCAAGTTACCAAACGTGGCGACTTACGACTGTTTTTGAGAAAAATCGAACCTGATATCAACAAACTTATTAAATATCATCAAATTCATCCATCTCATTAGATTAGTATAAAAACGAAAACTGATTACATATTTATATTGTTTCTTTTAATTTGATTAAAATATATTATTAATATTTTAAAGTTGGGTTTTATTTGCTCTCACTGGCAAAAATTTCTAGTTTAGAATGTAAGTTTAAGCATCAGAACCGACTAATACTATAACTAAATTAATTAAAGTAATGAAATTGTGGTTTTTAAGTTTTAGGGGTGTATAAAAAATGGGGGGCGCTGAAAAATAATTGATTTTCAAAGGAGGCGGTAAAAGAAATAATTTTGATAATCACTGTGATAGATGGTTCTCGTATTGGCAAGATCTAATTTTGAGTCTTTGTTAAGGATAGCATAGAGGGCAAAGAAAGCTCCTCTAGCTCTCTTAATTCGCCATTTGCAGCACCAGTTTTCCACAATATTTAGTTTATTTTTTGAAAGCTCTATTGCTCGATAAGTACTCATAGATTCTATAATAAAGGCAGTGTCGTCCGCGTAAAGTGCTACAAGTTCATTATTACTTTTGTTGTTAATTGGGAAGTATGTCGTGTACAGTATATATAAAATTGGGGCTATAATTGACCCCTGCGGTACTCCCGCTCTGATAATTTTGCAGTCAGAAAATGATTCATTTAATTTAAATCTGAAGTATCTATTACTAAGGAGGGAATGAAGGTGAAATATTATATATTATTGGAGAAATTCAGATCATGAAGTTTGACGATTAGACCCGTCCCTAATGCCATACTCGATCGAACGCTTTCGCGACGTCGAGTAGGACAAAGGCAATTGTCATGATTGGCCAAGTGAAGTCACATGCTTTAGTTTTTTGTTTTTTAACCTTTTCGAGCCGACTGTCACAAATACGTGCCAGCATAAAACTGTATCAGTCAGGGTAAAAAGATAAAACTTTTAATCAAAGTAATTCTTTTGCAGTTTATTTGTGGGCGGAGTTATAATTGTTTGATTTATTTAATTCACCATTAATTTGTTCAAGATAAAACTATTTAGTTATACTTTGAATTAACATTGATTATATATATAACTAACAATAATTAAAGTAAAAGCACAGTAAGTCTGTCAAATTAGCAACGACTACTTTTAAGCTACCGTTTTTTATTTATTTACATCCTGATTCTCATTTTGTACGAATGCTTTTCTGAATCACCCGTCCCTAAGGGTTTAAAGAAGTAGACTAGGTGTAGTATGAAGTACCTGCCCGCAGAGCAAGCACTCCGCTTCTTCATCTGTGTTGATGCCCGTAAGCGACTGGAGTACTGTGTTTTCTTTAAAGATGGTAGAATGGTAGAAATAGCGAGAACCTGGATACACAGCCGCGAAGCGGCTTTAACCCATTCAACGGATTTTAAAGTTAGATATTGGGGGATTCTTTAAAGATACTCATATGTGTTGGTTATCTTAGCATCAGCCCCGCTAGGGGCTCCAACTAATTCATCTGAGTGTTTCTTTAAAGATTATTGGTTGCTAAACATTTAAAAGAAATTAGTTTCACATTTTTAGTGGTTTGTAACATTTGTAAACAATATGCATAAATTTCTTTTTCTGTTATATTTTAATTACAGTTAGTTGAGTAATAATTTTACATTTTTAGAAACTTTTCCAAAACATGAAATGAAATTATTAACTCAATCAGAGATGGCAAATTAATATGAAAGTGAGGAAAAAAGAGAAATGTCATTGAAATAAGTTAGGAATTTAAAACTAAGAAACGTTGTAGAAAGTAGGCGTTACTCTCAACCTTGAGTTAACAAGCAGCTCAAATTTTATATCGAGTATAATTGATAAACGCATCATGGTATGTGTTAGATGCTCTTTTTTACTATTATACAATCAACGCTGGAGATTTTATTACGAAGTATATTTAGTTGTTTACAACATTTAAAAAAAGTTCGCGGAATTAGTAAACAAGTGTCAAATTGTTTTGAAAATTGTAAAATGCTTAAATAATCTATTTAATAGCTACCAGTAAATTTAAAACAATTTAATCTATTAATAATTTGTAATGCACGCATGAAATGAACCAATTTAAATAGTATAAATTTTCCAAAGCTTCGTCTGCTACCTCGAACAAAGTGGCGGGTAAAGCGTGCATGTAGTTAAATAAGGGATCAATGAATATCTCAGATATGCTTGTGTTGCGAAGTGGAGTCTTTAGTATTACATATTTGAATGCATTACGTGCTTCTTTTAAATAATTAACATAAATAAAAAAGAAATAAAAGGTTTCGAAGTGAGTTTTTTTTGTTTGTTGAGGTATGTAAAAATATTTTTATAAAAATAAATAAATAAAAAAACTAAATCCAAAAAGTTTATTTACCAATTTTTTAAAAAAAAACAGTTGTGTTTTTTATAGTAAGCGCTTTTTTTAGCTATTAAAATGATTTTCAAATTAATACTAATGGCACTAGAACAATTAATGATATGTTTGAAGGAAAATATTTATGTTATGTATGCAGCAGTTGTCTATTACACTTATATAAAATGATAAGCTGACAAATTCAAATAATAAACGCATATTAAAACAAGCTAAAAGGAAATTTAGTATGAGAGTAATACACATGTGTGTGTCGAATATTTCTATTTACCTTCGTATTTTATTCTTCAAATTGACTTTAAGCAATGTTTTTTTCTTTTTAAATCGATTTCTAATTTTTACTTATTCATTTATCATATCAATTTAGTAAAACAGTTTGCAATACTTCTAAGCTGGTGTTTCTCCTTAGCGAACATATTTTCCTGTCCCGATAGCTTATGTTTATTTTAAAGAAATTTTCCTTAGGTACAAAAGTAGAAAATATCAGGCCAAAGTAGTTTCTGAACTAATAAAACTGGTTATAAGGAAACGTTTAATTTCATACCATCATTTTTCAATTGATAAAAATTTTGCAATGGGTACGAAGGACACCATTTCTGAACGCTTCAAGCATAGTCTTTTAAATCGTGCTAACAGTTTCAGTACGCAAAAGTTTAAAGTTTGCAGCCTAAAGAAACATTGTTTAAATAGAGATAATATTGAAGTGTATCCATTATCTTGATATCCTAATTAATTGCAATATATTCGCACCATTGTGTGTAATGCCTCTGATTAAATATTAACATATTTTATTCCTTCTATCCATTTTTCAATTAACTACTATTTTGAATAATCATTCTTGGGGCAAGTTAAAGTGGTCAGTTACGTTTGTTTTATTAAGTTTGTACAAAACTGTTTTTAACATGATTTAACATTTACGTCAGGAAAATTTTGGTATGCTACCCCGATATTTTATATCACGTTTTTAAACTTCAATATTTTTACACGAGCACTTACTTTACATCCATTAGTTACTTTAGCATCCAAATAGAGTCTCGGTGCTGCCATCTAGTGTGGCAGAAACTAGACGTCCAAATTAACATGACCAACGGTATGAAAGAGTGGGTACCTGAAAGAGTGGGTACCACATCTGGAGAATGCACTAGGTCTGCTTATCGGCAAGACCGATTGTGCAGCTCATTGGAAATAAAATAAAATAAAAATATTTTTACACGAAATGCACAAAAAATCTCCATTAAAAAATGAAAATGTAGCTTTGAAAGAGAAACCAACTTCATATTTGACACCAGATGTGCAAAAATATCAAAGATTTGTTTAAAAAAAATATCTCCCACAAGAGAAAAACAATTTTTCCTACTGTAATTTATCTTTTAACTATTTTCTTATTCATTATTTTTTTTTTACTTTCTAAGACTGAAAACAAAATAAGAAGTTTTAAGAAACAATTTTTTTTTATTAAATGTTTAACGATGTAGTTTTTATAACTCAGTTTCTGTAATTTACATAACAGTAAATAATATCATAATAAACTATTGTTGAAATGATTTGATGCATTGAGACATCTTATTTATGAACATTTATTTGAGCAAAATAAAAACAAATGAGTAAATGTAAACAAACAAAAAAAGAGAACATTTTTTCTTCTATTTAAAAATTTCTAAGTAAGCCCTGCCTCTTCACACATTTCATAAAATCTTGTTCCAGTGTCTTGGAGTAAAGTTGACGGATTTCCAACTTCTAGTATTGTTCCATTTTCCATAACAACGATTCTGAAATTTATTTAAAAATTTTCTAGAAATTTCATTAAGCTTCAGTAAATTAATTAATAAAATCACATTTAGGGGGGTTCGATCCTCCGCTGCGATCAACCGAATAAACGCCTCCTATAACTAAAAGCCTGATCACGGTATATTAAAGGTACTCCGATCAGACCTTTATGGAGTTTATAATTAATTTACGAAAGAGCCATTTAATGGAAAAGATAGTAAATATAAGAAAGTGGTAGCAAATATACGTCTAATTATTTTTTAATTAATGAATATAATTGGTTTTTCTTATTTACTTGCCTACCACTACAGATTCCATTCTCAAATATATATGATAACTTTCTCTCAATTGATTTTAAAATAAAGGCCGCTAACGGCCCCAGGCGCCCAGATAAATATTGATGATGATGATTTTAAAATAGATTTTGCAGAGATGAGATGCCAATTTGCTCCGGACAGAAAAAAAAAATATTTTCGAGTGTTAGTTTATTAATTGTGATTTTTGGTTTAATAAAATCAATTTATTTGGTTTTTATACACCACTATTTTTAAAAAATTCGAAGGCTTATATAATTCTCCTCTTGTCTAAAATTAGCCATGCGACCATTTGGATTCAGATGTTTACATCCGTGAGTGTAGCATCGTCGTTAAGTGAAAGCATCGAATAAGTGGGCGTTTTCGCCAAGCGAAGTTTAAATAGTGTTTTTGTTTACTTCAGATAGCAGAATAATGTGTATATAAATAAGTTACTACAAATTATTATTATTTTGAAAGTGAAAGTGGGCGTCTTCGCCAAAAGTTTCTTCGAATTGTGTTTGTGTACATTTTCGACAACAGCAAAACGAAACTGCAAAGTGTTATTATTTCATCGCCATTGGATTATACCTATCATTATGTGAACAGTTACTTCATTATAATTTATTATATGCAGTGCATGTAATTCATCAACTTTATTATTTTCTTATCACGAAGTTTGTGAACAGTGTTTTCAAATTGTGTAAATAGCATCAACAGTAAACGTACTTGGAGAACAACAGGTAGATGAAAAAACTTTATTTCAATTCTACTTTATTATTTTCGTAAACAAGTGCTTTACTCATAACTCATTATGGATAACAGAAACAGTGAACCGCCCCCCTGGGCAACCGAAATGATCAATCTACTAAACCAGCAACTAATACAACAGCGAAAGGACATGGAAGACATGAAAGAAATGTTCCAAATAGAAATGAATAAACTACAGGAAACCATAGATAAACTCCAAGCTGAAAATGAAAATCTGAAATCAACTAATAAACACTTATCCAAAGTTAGTAAACAAAATGCCGAAACACCCATCCAGATACCAGATAATACAGCCAAAGAAACAACAATATCTACAAGAAAAAGCAAAAAGAAGACAGCAAATAAAAACAAAAGTGAACAACAACCATCAAACAACCCAATTCAACCGCCAAAGCAGAAAAGAAATCATTCATCCAGCTCTGAAGACGAAGATATAACAAATAACAANCAAAAAAGCCGAAGAATGCACAACAGCCAATTTCAACCAGATCCTCTCATTCGAAAACTACAAAAAAGATTCTCACCTCAGACCAATAGCAGCTTTTTATACATCAGATGCCTCCTTTCATCATTACCAACAAAAATAGTAATATATCATCACAGCCTCATTGGTAGAGTATCCGCCTACCACCACACTGATCCCAGGTTCGACCCCAGCCGACATCACTTTTCCAATAAATCTCCAGAATCATCCGAAAATCAACCTGCATCGTCTTCTTCATCCAGTATCACAACAAAGCATTTCTCACTGTAAAAAATCATCAAAGTCTTCAATCCATCATCTTGATTCCTCATCAACTTCCTCAATTCTTCATCCAGATTATTCTTCATCATGTGTCCAGATTCCTCATCAACTTCCTTCATCTAGATTATCCAGAATCCTGAAAACCAACAGTAGCAAGTGCTGCCACCTAGTAACTCCAGTGCAGTATATTATCTAAATAAACTCAGAACTTTCAAATAGAACTCTAATAAAAATTATATTATATTACAAAATACTACAATGGAATTTTCAAATATGTAAATAATCAATCTGTAAACTCTAAATCATCAACTGTAAATTTATATATTTTATTTTTTTGTTTTTTGTTTTTGCCACCACAATGTAGCAAAATTTCAAAATGTTTTTAAACACAATGTATATATGTGACGATGTATGGGATAGGGGCCGCTGCGCGGCCCAGGTGCCCAGTTCTTTTTAAATAAAGCAAAGCAAGCAAAATTAGCCATGCTCATCCCATTAAAAAGTAAGCAAAATAAGTGAAGTACTTGCAAAATTAAGATTGATGTTAATTACCGTATCTTAAATTATTTTGGCGTGTCCGGAATAGTTGGCATCTCTAATTTTGTTTCATGTGCCGAACTGGTTTACTTTTTAAACAGCCTGCGCAGACTACTAATAAGAAACCGTGTGGATGTAGGAGGGGACGATCGATTAGATGCGATATCGTGCTCGTAAAATCTGTGGATATCAAACGTTCTGTGGTCAATCGCAGAGCAACCGACCCTATTTTGAGTTTACGGCTACTAATGTTCAACTCCGTAAACTTATAGTTTTGAACCCAATCAAGAAGTCAAGGAAATTCCTGGATCAAGTATTGGGAGAGTTTCGTCTTCGCGGATGATTTTTTGATGGAACCAATCCACATTTGCGTTAAGGGAATGGAAAGCAACGAAAACCTTCCACGGTTAGTTTGACGGCAAGGGAACTCTAACTCTTGATCCATCTACCACAGATATTTTACGTCATTACTGTGGTCGGTGCGAGTAGGGAGTGAAATTCGCATCGACCAGCCATGGCTGAGATTCGATCTCTTTTCACCTCATTGGGAGAGGAACGCTTTATCCCCTGAGCCACCAAGGCTCGCTGAGCAGCAGCATTTTGGGAAAATTTTCTAATGTCTAAATTGAGGAAGTAGCTTCACAAAAAATTGTGATGGCATGCCATCGGATTATCACCAGCGATGCTTTCTAGAACGTCGCCACTAGCCCATCATGCAGCTCTTGTGCAACTAAATATAATTTTTAGTTGCTTACGTAACAATTTTTACGTTTTTCAGAAAAATGTTTTCATAGTAGCTGGGATCAGCTAAGATGCTGGTATTTCTTCAAGATTTAGTTAACACTTAGCACTTTCAGTTAGCTATCAAGTCTGCCATACACCTGTTTAAATTATTAAAACATAATGGAAATCAAAAGATTGCGCTTATATTTAGCCACACATTAAATACGGTAGTGAAATCTTCGGAAAATCCAGAGGAATTGGCAGAGTTTTAACGGTTCTAAAAAAAATTTAATAGGTGGTAACAAATATAACAAAACGAGAGTTATTTATAATAAATTTGTATTCGCCATGCCAGATATTTCTTAAAAAGTATATCAACGGTTTCATGTTTTTATTTTGATAGTCAATGCGAATAAAAGTAAATTATCTTATCAAATCTTATTACAAATATTGGCAACACTTTTAAAATTTTTTTTTTTGAGAATTGTATTAATCCTTGTTGGTAACTATTGAGAATCATATTACTTATTATTATCTACAACGCTATAAAATATTTTGTAAAAAGTGTAGCAGTTGGCATCCCTGCATATACATTCAAACTTGACATAAAGTATTCGACAGAACAAAGCGATACAACTAATTTATACATTCATGGGTCAACGCTCTACCAGTTTTTTTTACGAAGGCACTTTCATGGACAAAATTTTCCGTTCGAGCTAATACTTTAGTAGATCAACACCAGTAAATTATACTTTTAATGAATTTGCTATTCATTAGCTAGAAGATAGTTTCATGCAATTTCCAGCTGAAAAGTCGGTTCTAGAGTAGAGTCTGAAGCCCCCATGATTTAGTGATAATTTTCGTTCAGTTTTGCAGAAATTCTATTTCTGGTTACCATTCTTTGCTGTCCTACTTTCAATGACGTCACCTTTGGGTTCATGCAACTTTTGTTTATCTTTAAGTAATTCGTTCTTGGTTTATTTACATATATATTCGTTTATTGGCATACCGCCAAAAATGAGAGGGGCCCCTGGTTGTAAACTAATACCGAAGGGTCCTTGTAAAATGGGTAGTGGCTTAAGGGTGTGCTGAACCCTGGATTTTTGAAACCATTTTGGTATTGATTTAAGTAGGGTGTACTTGGTAAGTAGAAGTTGATGATTGATAGCATAGTACTCTGAATTATCTGAAAAAATAATCTAACAAAATCATAACATTTTCAGTGTCAATTATCAGCTCGAAATTATTCAAACATTGCAACTTATTTTGGGAGAAAGAGAGTACAGTTTATACATATAGTTATATTTAAATCTGAAGTCAAAGCAAACTACTTTTTTTAAAGCTACGGTGGCAGGCAGCAGAAGGAGATAAGCATTTGATATAGTTCGTTCATCAGGAGCTGGCGCTTGGCTCCACCTCCTCGGAAGCAGAGTTCATTTCAGCAAGGAAGTAAGAAAAAAAACATCTCCGCTTTTGAAAATGAGACAGCCCTTAATACGCGCCAAATGCCAACAGAGAATTCTTTTTCAGTCACTTACTTCACCTTATATTCTGCTGTTATACATTTCATTACTCTCTAACTGATTAACACGATCACGCCGGGAAAAGTGAAAATACTGGTAGAAGAAATATTTCAATATTAGATAATATTCGGGGGGAGTTAATCTATTCTCAACAATAACAATTCATTGTAAGGAAATTTATCACGCCGAAGAAGCAAAACAATATAAAAATTGCATCCGTTAAAAACAATTGGCAGTTATGGATTTTTATTATTCCCGGAAAAAAACTAAAAAATGAAATTTATTGTTACCAGTTTTTACTCCGGTGCGCTGCCAAGATGAGACAATCTAGCGTGACCCACCGGTGGGTCACCCCGGCGTGAACGTGTTAAATATATTTTAAATTTAATTATTAAATTTAATTTTCACAGCAAAATGTCTCAAAAAGGATAAACTATTATTTCAAAAGAGAGATAGATCATCCAATTTATGAAATATTTAATGTTAAAAAAATGCACATAAAGATTAGCGAAATAAATATTTTCGTCATACGATCGCCAAATAGCAAATTTGTTCAGGATTGTTCACATCCTTCTCCCAAAAATAGCAAAATAGTATCGTCGGATACCACGTGACGAAGACGGAACCAAATGCCAACTCCCGGTGAACGAACTATACCAACAATTGGTCAATTTGCCAAGCAAACACTGTGAATTCAAGCTACAGTTTGACCTGCCAAGAACTGGAAAAAGCTCCCAAGATAACTGAGAGATTATCATATCGTAGTGGGAAGCAATAATAATACTGATTTCTCCGTGATCAGGTTATAATTTTACCTTTGTCTTCCTTTTCACTGTTTATCGTTCTTTCTTTTAGTATTTTTTGTTGTATCTTTCTTTATTGTATTTCTACTCCTTTGTGGTAGGGGATTGTTGTAATTATGGATAGGAATTCCATGGAATGATTAAAGCTGTATGTAAAAGCTCACATTTGGTTAAAATAAATAAATAGATGTTTTGAATGTATAGATAGTTTCTTAGACTGGAGATTAATGGGTTAATAAAGACTTACTTGTCGTAGTCGAGTACAGTGTTCAGCCTATGAGCTATGGTGATGACTGTGTTTCTTGCAAATGCTGTGCGTATGGTATTCTGTATGAGGTTGTCTGTGTCTATGTCGACCGAAGCTGTTGCTTCGTCCAGCACTAAGATTTTCGTATTTTTTAAAAGCGCCCGAGCCAAGCATACAAGCTGCTTTTGTCCAGCACTAAAAAAATAATTAATTTAACCATTAAAAAAATTAAAAATACTTATAAGAAGTAATATCACATATGCCAATTCATAGGTAATTAGGCATAGGTAATAGGCATAGGTAATTGGTATTTTAATTGTAAAATTGGTATTTTAATACTTGAATCTTAGTTTACCAGTTTTGATCTCGTGACCACCACTATTTATATTCAACCGTCAACAAAGAATATTCACAAAATTATACAAATATTTACAAATTCGTAGTAATATCTACCATTGTTTTCCAAATTCTAAAAAGAGTGAAGAAAAAAAAGATCACTTACAATATTTTATCATAAAATTGCTCATTAGTTTTATTTAAAAAACCAAATAGGGGAACTGCAATGTTTACTCCGAAAAACTCAAGAATAAAGCTTCCCTAAACAATTCTGGATTTCCAGTAAAGCAATTCTATAAATCTTTCAGAATATCAATATATATATATGAATTATAAGTCCCTTTTATAGTTATAAACTTCTAAAAAATCTATACGTATTTCAGTATTTTAGATATTAAATCCATGTCAAGATATTTTCTCTTTGTCTTAAAAGCAAAAGCTTTCTATTCGCTTATTAAATGTGATATTGTTTAACGATAACTAGTACCTAAATCAGAATTGCAAATTTTAAGGGTTTTAATATTTCTAGTGTTAGCGTATTATGTGTTTCAGTATTGGAAATCTGGATTTTTTTTAAAAAAGTCTCATTTGAAACTGTCTTTAAAGGTACAAAAAAATTTCTTTTATTCTTTCCTTTCACTGAAAGTTTTTTTTATCTCAGTACGTACCTTAGATTTCCACCATTCTCTTCAATATTGTGCCCCAAACCATCATCCAGTGTTGTCACGAATGACTTTAAGTGAGATCTTTCCAAACTTTGCCACACTGCGTCATCGCTGTATTCATTGTTGGGATCTAAGTTTGATCTTAAAGTACCCGTAAAGAGAACTGGATCCTATTAAAAAAAAAGGAGACATTTTTATTACCTTACACAACAACAATCATGTGGTCACTTTTTACAGGTTTTACTACAACTACTAAATTTAACTTTTACTACAGAAAGAAGTTTTTACGAAATAAAATCCTCAAAAATTAAAAATAATAATAATAATGATTACATAAAAAACATTAATGAATTGCAAAAGCACCGAACCAACTTGTCGAATTAAAAGTAATTTAATTTAGATCTCAAAGCATTAAAAAAAATTTTTATCTCTTTATTACGATTCTTGGTTACCCATTGGCCAAATGCTTTTTTTTTCTGTTTTGACTCCGATAAACGCCATAACATTTTAAATCATGGGTTGCAGAAACTGTCTCAATTGATGTTTGTTTTCGGATTAGTTTTCAAACCCTGGCTACATACGTGTTTCAAGTTGTCACAAGATACTTTTCCTTTTTCAGTATTCATATTTATATTAAAATCACTGTGAAGACAGTAATTAATAATGAAAATAATATAAAAATGAAATGTTAATAATGAAAATAATATAAAAATAAAATGTTAATAATAAAAATAATATAAAAATGAAATGTTAATAATGAAAATAATATAAAAATGAAATGTTAATAATGAAAATAACATAAAAATGAAATGTTAATATTGAAAATAATATAAAAATGAAATGTTAATAATGAAAATAATATAAAAACACTTTAAATTATTATTATGTAAATACATTAAGAATGACTGCCGGTGAAAATGAAAAAAAAAATAATTCTAAAAAAGTTATCAAACAGCAGCGGTCGCCATAGCAACGCATGCAATGACGACGCATGTGCTCTGTTTACTAAAAACTCTTAACACAGTTGAAAAGTGTGATGACGTCCAAATAGAAATATAGTTAACAGAAATATAAATAAATCAGGATTTTTTTAAGTGTGAAAAAGTAGTTATAATAATAATAAAAATATGCATAATGTTCATATAGACCAAAAATAAGTTATTTCTTATTTCACTTGATCCAGTCCTTAGCTAGAGAAGTCTGGAAGGACGTGCACCCAAAGATAATCATGTTCCTGCCCAGCATTTTGGCAGAGATCATTCTTCTCCGGCTCTAAACAGGAGACCAAATGGTCTGGAGTAGATTGGAGTTAATTATATTTGGGGCACACAGGAAACTTCTTTTGTCCTTGCATGTATAAAAGTGCACGAGTTCGTTCACTGATGAATCTGGTAATGATGGCCTGTAATTTTCTATCGTCCTTTAGCTCTAGGGCAGGCCCAGGATGTTTTAGTTGGTATCAGTCATGAGCAGGTGGAATCCTACTGCCTCTGCTGTTATCTGCTCTGATTTTCCAGAATATTTCACTATAGGTAAGAAGACCACTATTTTCTAGCTGTTCAGCAGGGCCCTGATTGGCCAATTCATCGGCCATGTTATTGAAGAAGATATCAACATGTGATAGGATCCACTGCAAATGAATGTCATTATGTGCAGGGTATATCTCTAGTTTGTTCACTATGTCAGAGCTGGTTTTGTCGCTAATGCTGCGGCAATTTCTTACATTTTGAATGGAACTCTTACTGTGAATAAACTGATATCGCAAAAGCTTTTATTGGATATCATGTGATTCAAAGCTTCGTCAATGGCAATCACTTCGGATCTAAAATATATATCAGACTAAAAATATAACTACCCTACATATGCGACGAAACTACCTGTATATAGGTGTTTAACTTCCAAAATGATTTTATTATATTAAAATGAAAAATGACTTTTTCAAATTTTCAGTACGCATAAGAACAGAGATGCCAACTTGCTCCGGACAGCAAATATGTAATTTAAAGTGACAGTTTAACAATTGTTATTCTTGGTTTAATAAATTCAACTTAGTAGATTTTCATTCACCACTATTTCTAAATAATTCGTAGGCTTATATAATTCACCACTGAATTTATGCATGTTATGCTTAACCTTTTAAAAAAATGGTCAAATATTTGCAAAATTTACTTTGTAATTATTTACCGCTTTTTTAATTATTTTGGCTTGTCCGGAGCAGTTGGCATCTCTGTAAGAAAAGTAAATCAAAATTTCGTAATTTCTTCTAGATTGATGTATTTGATAGAAGTGCACAAATATGTACTACTTTCCTAGTTATCTAGTCCTTGAAGATGTATGTGAAGCTATATTTTCTTTTAAGAAAAGATTACAACATTTTTGCATATTTAGCCGTGTATTTCTTTGTATCATAAATGCCTGAAAATGTAGTGGTAAGTTTTGAAAATAAGATAAATCAGTATTGTATACAAACCTGTGGAATTATAGTCAATTTTGATCTCAGCTTTTGTAATCCTAGTTTAGAGATATCGATATTGTCTATAAATATTGACCCCGTTACGGGCTCTATTATCCTAAATAAAGCCATGGTGATTGATGATTTTCCAGCACCAGTGCGTCCTATAATGCCCACCTAAATAAATAAATGCACAGAGGTTTATATTATATAAATTCTAATGACTATGTTATAAACTTACAGAAATAATTCAATTAACCAAGTGTAGCAATTACCTACAAATGTTTTTAAAGTAAGAGGTAATGCTTTATTTACAGCTTTTACGTCAAGTGTAATCCGAACTTTGTAATGTAAATTAATATTACTGAAACAGTTACTTTTTAAAATAACTAGTAGATTTAATATTCCAATATCTCATTTTATTATGAAAACCAGGGATGTAATTTATTCATAAAAGTAGAAAAATTCGTAGTAAAACTATAAATATCGTCGGGGGATTTGTGTATGTGCCCTGTTTATTTAATAATTTTCTGAAATTTAGGGAATTTTTAATAGATATGTCTTTTTTTAAACCTCAGAAATTCAAATTTTTTTTTAAACTTCGATTTTCGATAATTTATATCTAATTTAACGAACTATTTTGGTATTATCACATTTATGTAAGCGGTATTTTAAAACTATTTAATGATTATTTAAAAAAAAAACATTGTTACAAAACAAATTTGAATACTCTATAATTAGACTTTAAAACAAATTTGTTCAGAGGGGCTAAAGGGACAAAACCATCTTAAATTAAGTTTATTAAGGGTTAACCCATTGTAAATTGAAATTATAAAATATATAAAAAAATTAACCATTAAAAATATTGCTCATTTATATATTTTTTAATAATATAGAAAAGATTTTTCCGGCAATGATAATTATTAAATTATTATTACCTAAGTAATTACGACGGTGTCTATCTATCAGCTTTTTTAGAAACAGATAATGAAGTAATTTTTTCATGATTTTTGCTTTTATCAGTAAAAATACGATCCTTTTGCTGAATTTTAAAATAATGAGTTAAAATGTCTTACCTTTTCACTTCCATTTATAGAAAGATTGATATTTTTTATAACTAAGTCCAGGTCTTCTCTGTATTTCGTACTGTAGTTGTTGAACGAAATTTGGCCGATGGGTGGCCATGCATTGTTCTGGCAATCTAAAGATGTATCCCAAGCAGCCTAAGTTTTAACAAAATATAAATTTGAAATAAATTTAAGATACTGTTTGCTCAAGTTAAACTCAAAAAGGCAAAAAAAAAAATTACTTCAGAAGCGAGCTTGCAGTATTCGTCCACTCGTTCAACTGAAATGGATTTATCTTCAAGTATACAGCTCATCCTAACGAACCATTTAATAGCGTCGGTAACCTATAGGAGAAAAATATATATCTTTAAGAAAAAAACTGCACGAAATACTTTAAAATATTTTACGTTATCACTTTATAAAAGAGAGGTGCCTCTCAGTCACCACTCTAAAATCAATATAATTCTAAATGTTAAAAGTTTTATTTCTAATGCATACATACCTGCAAACTCTTCCGGTTTTTCCGGAAGATTTCAATTTTGTATATAAAGTTGTACTCAAACTCATGTCATGTCGTTAAAATTTTGAATTATAATGCTAATTATAAATAAGTTTGACCACCACTACTTTTAATTAATTACAACAAGTATATAAAAGCATACTAATATTAATGATAGCAAATTTTAACCTAGTCAAAATATAAATATATTCTTGAGTCAGATTGTTTTTCGTTTATTGTTCTACAACCACTCTGAAAATCCATTATCGGAAAGAGTGAAAGTTGGCAGGTATGTGCATATAATGTTCTCATCAGTTTACAGGTCCTTGTCAATTTTAAGAACAAATAACACCTGTTAGAGAAGGACATCGTGAAGAAGTATCCATGGTTACTACGAGATTCGAATCCGCTAACTTAGCAGTGCAAACCGTTTCACGGGCAAGACCAATCGGTTGCGTCTGGTAACACATGATGCATCTTCGCAATGAGCTCCTTTAGCATGTGTTATCTGTACTTAAATTTGAAAAAAAGACTTAAACCGGATCACGGGTTAGATCCCATTTGTCTCCTGGATATCCACGGGAGGTTTTCGTAGTTTTCCTAACAAATAACGCAAATACCGGTTGGTTCCATTAATATGTCCTCCAAGAAGGCGAATTCCTCTCAAAACTTTATCAAGTAGTTCCCTTAATTTCTGGATCGGGTTCAAAAAATTAAAAATGCTACGGAGTTGGAACAACTCAAAATTGATCAAAGACTTAAAAGCCGTACTTTCTCATAAGCCCATGAGCCTGCATATATATGTATACGGAGATACAAATAAGTGCCCTCCGTGTATTCTTTAGTAGTTCTGTAAAGAATGCGATAAGAAAGATTGAAAGATTTTATTTTATTTTATGGTCGTTGTTAAACAGCTGACTCAATTTTTTGGGGGGTTTATGACAACTAATGTTTCACTCCGTAGCCTTGTAATTTTGATCCCAATTCCGAAAACAAGGAAAATCCTTTATCAAGTATTGGGAGAAGTTTGCCCTCACAAAGGTTTTTGTTTGAAGGAACTCGTCTTTGCATTACATGGAGAGGATGACCATGAGAACTTCCCACGATTTGCCTGAGAGCAAAGAGACTCTAACACATCATCCGCCTCTCACTGACGATATTTTATGTAAATAATATATATATATATATATATAAAGTT